ACTGAACCCAAGGAACCCAGTGACAGAAAGAGAGGAGTGATGAGCAAATTGGCAAAGAATGGGCTGGCAAAAACAGTAGAGACAGCTGATCCGAACAGGGGAGAGCTCTTGGGCCCCAGACCGACAGCTGGGAGGCCAGCATGGGACTGATCCAGACCCCCTGAATGTGAGAGTCAGTGAGGAGGCCTGGGCAACCTATGGGGTCCTGAGCAGTGGATCAGTGTTTATCCCTCGAATACTAACAGACATCGTGTGTCCATAACACAAAGAGGGATGCTCTCTCTCAGCCTGGACTCTTAGGATAATGCCTGGACCCTACCCTGAGTGAAATGACAGACTCTAGATATCCCCTATGTGGAATGAATTGGCAATAGGGTGGGAGGATGGGGGGGGAGGAGGAGAGGGAGAGGGAGCTGGGATTGACATGTAAAACAAGCTATTTAAAATTAAAATAAAAAAGAAGAAAAAATATATATACACACACATAAATATATATGTGTGTGTGTTGCTGAATGTGAGTATGAATGCATGGTTATGTGCATTTTCCTGTACATGTAAGTAGGTGTGGGGGGGTTGTAACTTTTTCTACAACTTACATTATTGCACAATGTCTACAGGTCCTAGGTTTCCTTGATTGATTGATGTTCTGATTATCAGCTTGCTGATCAAAGATAGAAATACTAGCATGGAGCAGCAGCAGACTGGTTAGGGAAGTGCTTATGAGGAACCATGCAGACCAGCTCCTTTCTCTTTGTCTCCTGGTCACAGTGTCCAGGATGAAAAGACAGGGTTGAGAGGATGCATAAGTGCCAAGAGCCTACTTCTTTGTACTGAATATGCTTTTCTAGCCTTTCTGGGAATAGAGCAGAGAAGTCACCTCAGACACATCATCAGGGAACTAATGATGATGATGATGATTTATTTTCCATTGGTCTCTAGCAGGAAGGCATTCCTTTGGCCTCATCCCAGTCAAGAACCCAGAATCTCCTTCCCTTACTCCATTCTTCCCTTCCTCCACTAGGAGTCTTCCACATACGGTTCAATGTCAGAGGGCAGACTTGTGCCAGGTTCTAACCTAGAGGAGTCTTGATGAGCCTGTAAATCTGTGTTACTTTGGGACCCTGTGGAGACTCTAGGCATAAAACATTGACCAAGCGTATGTCATAGAGACTCAGAGACTGAGCCTAAAAGAAATGACTTAGCATTTAAGATCCAGAAGCCACCCAAGCAAGGAAAAGCAAAAAGTCACTGCAAACATATAGTCCATTGTTCAGAAAAAAAAATTGTGCCCCAGAGGGAATTCTCCACAGGCATCATCTTACAGAGAGTAATGAGGGAATGTCTGGAATTCTAGACCTGAGCCTAGGTTCTGTGTTGTAATGAATAAAGCTTGTGGAAGGGGACTAGTAGGTGTGTACTTGCTGTGGGCCCTTTGAATGACTCAGAATCCTCGAGGCCAAGAGGATCCTGGGTTTTACAGCAAATGGGTCAATGGTAGCCTCAGACACAGAGGCTTCTGTCAAGAATAGTAAACACAGGTACCACTGCCTCCTACAGTAGCAATTACCTGTGAGAATAAAGGGGGGTCTAAAAGTGTACCATGGAAAGACCAGATTGCAACAGGTCTAGGGCTGAACTTTGTAGAGACAAACAATGAAAATCCAATGGCTAATGTGCAGTCAGTATGTTCCAGGTTCCAAATTCAGCACTTATACCCAATATCACATATGGTTTTGTTTAATCCCCTTGATCAGAAAGCTGAAGAACAGAAAATGTACAGAATCTGGCCAAAGATGTGTAGGCATGAAGCTGTATACCTCAAATCTGACTAGGGTGACATCAAAAGCCATGCCCTAAAAGAATGCTTTGTTTCTGCCAGTGTGTGTGTTCATGTGTCCACAAGCCTCCCGAGGCTCTGACATACAGACTGTGACTTAGTGGGTTGGCAGTAGAGGCTTCTTACATTTCCTCAGTGGCTCCTCTGTTGCTGATGCCCATATCAATTTAGGGCATCATGCTGATCAAAAGAAGTCATCCTAAATCAGCTATTGGACCTTGGCATCCCTTTTCTCTCCCACTATCATCTACTTACAGCCCCCCTGTTGGCGGAACTCTAACAGAGAGTGTGACTCTCTGTAAGAGGCAGAGGGGATGGAGGACACCAAGAAAACAAGGCCTTCTAAACCAACATGATCAAAGCTCACATGAACTCACAGAGACTGACGCAGCAAGCTTGGGGAGACTGCACAGGTCTGCACCAGGTCTCTGTGTATGTTATAGCTTTCAGTTCAGTGTTTTTTATGGGACTCCTGAGTATGTGAATGAATGGGTCTGTTGTGCCTTCTCTTGGGATTTTTTTCCTTCTGTTTGTCTTGTCCAACACTAGTGTAATAGTTTTTGTTTTATCTTATTATTTAAAAAGAGTAAAAAAATAAATATATGATTCTCGCGATGGCTCTATGAGGGGAGTGGTGTCGCTTGCAAAGGGAGTCAGCTGACCCAGACACATGGAAAGTGTTGAGTCTGAGTCCTAGTCAAATAAGAGGTTTCTGGAGTCCCACGCAGGACATAGAAGCTGAGAAATTCCTATTCATGGTCCAAGTAGGGCAGTGAGTGAGATAGTTATTTAGAACTGGGACCAGTCATTTCCCCTTCTCTCCTTCCTGGGTCTTTCTTCCCCCAGATACTTCAGTAAGAGAACAGCAGCCCTTGGAACTAGTCTCAGCATAGGCATGCACTGTAGTTGGTTTTCTTATATGCCTATAATCCCTCCTTAAATCATGCAGTAGTTAGCATTTATAAATCTCCCAGTAGTGAACTCCCTAGGACAATCATAGGAGATGTGTATTATACATACATACACGTGTGTAATATATATATACATATATATACTAGTCAAACACAAAATATGAACACATTTGAGCCCATTACTCAGTAATAAATCTCCTATGGCCCTATAGGTCTGCATACTTAAATTTGGACCTTCCTTTACATTTTACTTCTGCAGTGGCAGCAGCAGCCAAGCAAGGAAAGTCCCCACACAGATTCAGAAGCTGCTCTGTGTCACCATGTCCCTTGCTAGTGTGAACTTGTACAAGCTTCCAGAGTCTCTGAGCCTCGGTTTTCTCATCCATACAATGGGGATGCTCATGGCTGCAAATATGTGGTATAAGACTGGTATCAATGAACACAAAGTATTCTCTCTCTCTTTTTTTCCCCTCCCAATAGTGGGGAATAACAATCAGGCTGTGATTGGTTTCTATGATTTTACAGAGTAGCTTCTTCCCAAACAACTAGCCTCCATTTTTGTAAAGCTGCTACTTGTCAAATCAGCCTGTATCTGTAGGCAGAGATGAGCTGCTTCCTCCCGTATCATTAAGTTTTTTGATGAAGATATTTTTTTAAATAAATGTCACCAGCTCTCAGCTAGGCCCTCGCACCAGCTGGGGTCCCTTCCATGCCTAATTCCCTCCTGTTAACCTGCTTTATCAGCATGTTTCCCATCCCCTTGTTATGTTTCTGGCTGTATATCTGTCTGGAAAAGGTGTTCTTTCATATCTACTTTAACTAGCTTGATTTGGCAAGGAAGTATGAGGTTTCAGTTCAGGAAGAAAACAGCTTTGATTACATTGCTCTTATTTACTGTTCTCCCTCTTGCTAAGTATCCCTAGACTAGTAAGACAGCAAATGCTTTTGCAAGCAAAGATGAAAGTTAATAAAGTCTGTAGACTCATGGGCAGCCTCTCGCCAACAAGCATTTTGTGCAGTTCATCTGTTATGTGAAAACCACATAGCATACTTCAAGCACCCACCTTTTGGTGAGGTCCAGGAAGTATATTTTCTTGGATGGATGTGCTGTGGGATCAGGGGGAACCATGGCTGAGTCCCAGTTCCTCTAAAGTCTGTCCCCAGCTCCCTAACCCCACCCATGCATTGTATTGTCCTAGGGAACTGCCCTGACCCCTGTCTATATATACCTACTCACTGCACTGCCTTGCTTAAAATCCCTTACCCAGCATGATGTTGCTCACTTATAATTTATCACTCAGGAGGCTGAGGTAGGAGGATTATGAGTTGGAGGCCAGCATAGGCCACACCGTAACACCCTGTCTCAGAAAGCAAGTAAGTAAATGCATAAATACATAAAATTTCTCAGTGGTTTCTTACTCTCCTCTACCATAGCTCAAACTCTTTATGGGACATAAAAGCATGGCTAGGCTCTCACTTTAAGTTTTTGCAGCTTCATTTGTTCACTTAGTCATTCATTTATCCAAAAAGCACTGATCTAGGATTGAGTATATGGTAGACACTGTGCTAAACTGTGGATTCAACAATAAACAAAACAAATGTGAACTGAATTTTATGGAGTTTTAGGTGTAGGGTAAAAGTCAAACAATCCTGCCCACATGTATCAGAATGGTGCAGAGAGGTGACTGTTTGAGTGTTGGTCTCTTTGACCTTGCTCCTCATCAAGTAACATGCACATTCTGGTGCTGAAAGACACTCTGTCAAGAGCTAAGCAATGGGAATGCCCTAGGTTAGGAGGCAGAGTGTATATGAGGAAATGAAGGAAGCAGACCTATGGGTTAGGAGCACAGAAACCACCAGGGCATCAAGAGAAGGCGGCCTGAGGTAAGTAGAAAAAAGCGGGCCAGCCTCAGGGGCTGTTCATTCTGAAGGCAATGTTAGATGCCCCAGATGTATACATAACATAATGGTATAATAAAAATGTACTTTGAAAAATTATTCAATGTTTCTGGGATAAAGAATAGCTTAGATTGAGATAAAAATGTGTGGTATTATTGTCATGGTTAAAACAAGAGATGAACAAAATTTAGAATGATTGATAACAGTACACTCTAAAGTGGATGTATTTGGTAGATATTTAAAATATTAAATCAGTAGGCTTTGTTGGTAGAGTAGATGTGAGAAAAATAAGTTGAGGAGAGACCAGTGAAGATACAGATCCAACAACATTCCAAGAGACAGGTCTTACTCACCTGTGAGGGTAGTCCTGGTAGTTGGACCAATGCCCTTGGGGACCAGTACTTCATGGTACTGCTCACCCGCTAGGGTGCTGTACACAACTTTGTACTCCTGAGCCTCTGCCTCGCTGTTATCCCACTCAAGGTCAAGGCTAGTTGCTGTGCGGGAACCCACTCGCAAATTCTTGGGAGCATCAATTTCTAAAATAAACAAATATCATCACCATCATATTTAATTCCATACTTTATGGTATATCTTGAATTCTAATGATCTATGACCCTCTGCCTCATTTATGAATGAAGTCTGAGATGTTGCTTCTCCTTTTGTTCTGCCATGACAAGTCTGGGTATGTCACATGGTTTGGAGTTAGGCTTCAATGAATTCTATGTTTACTCTATATTGTCTGAGAATTCAAGTAGCATTCTGGAAACTTGAAAAGGAGCTGATTAACATCAGAAGTTTAAAAGTAAGCCAAAAAGATAATCCAGTCAGAGAAAACAGGAGATGATCTCAAGTGGTTAAAATGGAAGAGAGGAATGCCAGGTGCGATCCCTGAATAAAAGGGAGATGGCCGATTTCGAGATACCTTCCCATGGGTTTACTTGCACAGATACAACTGCAAGGCATCAAAGTTGGGGATTTATGATGTGGATAATGGGTGTGATATAGTGGGAAGAGTGTGGGCTTTGAAGTCAGGTCTCAGTGTGAACCAGTTCTGACACCTACAGTAATAGGACTACAGACAAATCTTTCAAGCTCTTAGAACTGAATGGCCATCTCCTAGACAAGGGGAAAACAATCCAAGATGCACAGAGTAGGTGTTGCATGTGAAGTGCATAGCATGGCATGGGGGGTGGGGGGGAGTGTACAAAAGTAGGTGTCCAAACCTGGATGGATGGTTTCTCGTTATCTCAGACAAGCTTACTGAACCCAACAGTATGGCACCTGAATGTGTCTTTTGGGTTTCCAAGAGTTCCTGTGACTATTGGCATTTCCTCTCATAATCTGTGGGAACCACTTCTCTCTGACACTTGTCTTAAAAATCTGTCACTTAAAAAGTCCGAGACAGTTACAATACTGGGGACTTGAATTTAATATTGGAGTGGTTGTTGCTTGTTCTAAGTAAACTGTGTCAGTCTGCCACCACCAGGCAAGTAGCCCTTCCCCATTTGTCCCCATGGAAGAACTGACTCCATCTGAAAATGGAGGCTTCTGTCTTCTGTTGTAAACTGGGGGTGGGACTGGGGTCTTGAGCAGATGAATGCCTTTGCAGCTTATTTTCCTGAGACGTTGGTCTTCATTCAATGTGTGTTTTCATACTGGATACTGTTATTCTTGATGTGTTATATGTTATTTGTCTGGGAGTTGGAGCGTGGGGACAGACACCTGTGAGGTAGATCTCATGCAGGAAGAAAGCACTGGCAGAGTCGATGACCTGTCCTGACCAGATTTAATGTTTCTCTTTTCTGGAGCTGACGAAAGCAACTTAAGGAAGGGTACAGAGAATGAGATTGCTGGTCACTTGTATCCAACCACAACCAGGAAGTAGAAAAGGCGAAGGTTGGACTCAGACGCTCAGCGTGCTTTCTCTTTCTGTTGCATCCAGAACACCAGCCCACGGAATGTATTTGTCACATTAAGGGGGAGGCCCACCCCAGTCAACTCAATCTAGACATTCTTTTATACACATTCCCAGAAGTGTATCTCCAAGTGGTTCTAACCCCTGTCAAGTTGATGAGTACTAATCATCCAAGAGGTAAAAACAGTTAATCTGGGTTAAGGTGGGGACCTATGTCTATACTTACAAAATGTTAGAGATTTCCTCTTTTTATAAGGGCAGAGAGTGCAGTTTAGTGGCTATTGGCTCTGTACTCTGTAGGAAGGGGACAGTGTTCAGAAAGGAATTGGTGTTTCCAATCTCAGTAATTTTAAAAGAGCTCACTGCTAGAATGAGAGATTGGCCAGCGAGTCTTAGAATTGGGCTGAGATGAAAGCATTGCTCTCTCTGGGTCTTTCTAGACCCAGAGACATCCATGTAGAAGGGGGTTTTCTTTTCTCTGTTTAAAACATTCTTTTGTTCCATGCTAAATGCTCCTTAATTCCAACAGTAGGGGTCTAACTGGGCACTGAGTGAACAGATTTTTAAGCACTTCTACTCTTTTTTTTATTCTTGGGGCACATCAATTTGTATTCCAGGGTCTTTGAAGCAGCTGCCATTTTTGCCTGGAATGTTCTGTAGCTCTTGTGTGACTTGAGTTCTCCGTCAGAATGCCACTTTCTCAGAGGGGTGGGCCTAATCCATTGGAGTTCTTCTTTTTTGATCCATTTCACTCCCTACCCCAGAACTCATGAGTGAAATGATCTTTCATCTTTCTTTTCCTGTTGTCACCCAGTTCTCCCCACTAGGATGCCATTCATGTGAAAGAGGCTCTTATCTGTTTACAGCCTCTGCCTAGAGCAGTATTTGTGGCCCCAGAAGATGTTCAACAAGTACATGGGAAGTCACCAAACATGTATCATCCCCTTCTCAATCTTGTTTGTTCCCTCCAAGCCTTCAGAAATGACTTGTTAAATATTTTAACTGTGGGCTTTGAGATTGCCTGGAGTGAGGTGGTGCAGGAAACGGAACAGCTGTGAGAGAGGCATCCAGCCTTGCAAAGGAAGTCTTTCTGCTGTCCACAACCAGTGTCTTTGCTGAGGCAGCGAGTGCTTCCAGGTTGAATTTTGAAATAACTTGTTGGAGAATCCCAGGGAGGAGGGAGAGGAATGAAACTCTGGCTTGAATGTTTGCATTTGTTATCTGAAGCTGCCACACATGGCAGCCCAAGCTGGGGTCTGAGCAGGAAAGCAATGTCTAGAATCTTGAGATGCAGGTGCTGGCAGGGTGGTTTTCTTCTGAGAACTGGGGGGAGGGGAATCTGTGACATGCCTCTCAGCATCTTGTGATTTTGTGGCCATCTTGGGTATCCTCTGACCCATTTCTGCCTTCATTTTCATATGGCATTCCCAAGTGTGCATGTCTCTCTCTGTCCTGGTTTCCCCGTTTGATAAGGACACAGTTGTTGAATTTGAGTCAATCCCAATGACTTCACCTCAGTTGACCCACCAGCAAGGACCCTGTTTCCAAATAATGTCACATTCAAACATACAGGGGGGTCAGTGCTTTAGCATCTTTTCAACTCATGGAAACACTAAGTATAGGTGTGGGTCATTCAGATCAAAGGCACTGGTGGCTACAGTTCTTTGAGGACTCTGCCCAGAATGAAGTCCTCCATGGTAAGGGAAACTGTCCCAGAGTCTCCATGAGGCTGCTGAAGTGGGAGGGGACTCTACGTTTGCTAATCTGGCTTCTTTCTAATTACTGGCCTCTGTGTACTTCCACCAGGGTTTTTGTTTTCAGGGCAACTCTAAGACCCAGACTAACATCCTACTCACCATGCAGGAAGCAAATCTCAGTTTTAATTGCCTGTGCAATTAGTGCGCTCCTAGTGTTGAAGCCATCACCTGGAAAAACACTTTGCTTAATTTGAATTTAAGCAGAATTTTGAAATGACTGAGGGCCCTACCGTGAGGGTCTGCATACACTTTCATCATTCAACTGGCATCTGCCAACTTTGGACTTGGAGAATCTGCCTGCAAAGCTGTTTGTGGCTTCCCATCCTTACTTCCCCTCCCATCTAGGAGTCAAGAGAGCAGGCATGGGTTTGAGGCACAGGCTGAAGGCTGCATGGAGAAGCAGCCACCTAACAGCTGCCAATTCACCAGGCAACCCGAAGCTGAGATTCCTGCTGCAATGAACTGAAACGCAGGGTGAGCTCTCTCAGAGGAGGTGGGATGTAATTGTCTTGATTGGAATTTTCCTGGGCCACCAGCCAACATTGCTCCATCTTACCGACCTGAACATCAAGAATTCACTTTTCATCATACTGTTTGAAAGGCCCCTTCTCTTTTCTTACCTCTTCAAACTCCTTATCAGAGCAGAGCACAAATAAATCACTTTCAAATATAAACTATCTTGAAACTAAGAGAAGAAAGCAGAACACACGTGACCCAGAACAGATACCACCAGCCTGAGCAGGTCATATTGTATGTATGTGAGGTGTGTGTGTCTGAATATGCACTGGAGGATGACCATGAACTTTCAGACCATTAGTGGATATTACAGGACCATCCTTCCTCATGCTCTTACATGAACATTTTTGCCTACATAGGGGAGAAAGGAACAGAAATGAGAATAATTTGATTGTATTTTCTTCTTTTTCTTCCCCATGAGAATTACCATTTATTTCTTGAGTTGCCAAAATCATCACCAAAGAGTGCCAAGGGAACGAGGAGGCTCAAGCACTGATTGAGGGTTATCACAGGAAAGGTCCTTCTCTGGCTGGCTACCCTCCCTATCACCCATGTGGGGTTATTCTCAGGAGGAGGTGGATTGGAGGCTTTGGAAAAGGGTGTTGATTGTATTTTCTAAGAAGCACACTCAGACTTTGGGGATCTCAAGATGTGTTTACCTTTTTGCCTGGAGTATAACCAATGGGCCGTTTCAGTAGAGTCTGGTACCAAGGATTGAGAGAAGAACTTAGCGAGTCCAGCAGACTCTAACCTGCCTCCTGAAGCTTACAGAGTCCATACTTGTTTCTAAAGGGAAGTTCACCAGAGTCTAAACTTGCTTGTTTCTACAGAGGAACCCATCATTTAAGACTCTAGGATGCACTCTTTGGCTAGGGAAATGGGCTTACTTAAGTGGTGAGATGTACAGCAAAGCCTGGGCACTGATGGTTCACTCCCCACTTATGGGACTGCCACAGGGGTCCAATCTCTCCCCGTTCCTCCACAGTATGAGTCCTAACCTAAGCAGTCTATAACTTTGCCATGGGTAGTCTAACCCACATCTTCCCCAGCCACTCAACTCTCATATACGTCTACCTGTAACAATAAGCCATCTGCTACAACTGGGGTCATGTATTATGGTTGCTTATATCTACTTTTTTGTCCATTGATAATTCAACATCTTGAAAGAGAAGGTGTGATAGTTATTGTGTGTTCTTGGAATCCTTGTAGCAGACTCTCAAGCTACAACCCAACTTAGGACAAGTAGATTAGTGTTTCTTCAGAAGTCAATGGTTCTGAGGTCTCCCAGGTGTTATCAGTTTCCTTTGATCCTTGGGACAACTTGGAGCTGGCAGAAACATTCCTTGACATGTAACTTCCCCAAGGAAGGGAGACCAAGACTGACATTCTTGACACAGGGACTCAGTGTCTCTAACCTGTTCACAGGCCCTTGCTAACCCAGCAAGGAAACCTGACCTATGAGTGGGGCCTATTGGTCTTACCCATGGGCACGTCAGGAAGTGAGTCACCCTGAGACCTGGATTTTCTGATTATTGTTAAGTTCAAGTATGCTCTCTTGTGGGCATCATTACAAGACCGATGGGCTTAGCTCAGTTTCCCATTCAGGACTGTGTCTATGTCTTCTACCAATTATCCTTGTTGCTAGAGGTTACAAATGGCAGGATGACTCAGGGACCTCAGTCAGGAGGTTGGCTGATGACTATGCAGGTTATGCTTTGCACAAGGCTTCAGTGTCTTTGTGGTAAAGAAGTCATTTCAGGCTTAGAGAACTTCTACAGTTTCCAGTAAATGACAATAAAGCATCTTAAGAAACAGACACCTTCTCTGAACTTTCACAGTTTCACCAACAATATGGATATTCAAATGCCTTTGTGATAAGCTCAACAATTCTATGAGTCTCTGATTTCCAGCTTCTGAAGGCTAGCAGTTAGGATGCAAACCCAGCTCTCCTGGGCTAGCAGATACTCTTTTTTCTTAATGCTGGAATAGCAATAGCAGCAGGAGCCCCCTCAATCCTCTAACTTGCTTCTTGTAGCCTCTGCATGAACAGGGTTGCCTAGCACGCACCATTTCATTTTTTCTTTAATGTCTGCTGGCATGGTAACATCATCATGTTGCCTCCCACCCTGCCTTCTCCCCACCCCAGTCTCACCTGTTGTAAATTGGGTGCTTGTGGCATCACTTTCATTGGTTCCCCGGACTGCGCTGACAGAGACCTCATAGCGGGAGCCAGGTCTAAGGGCTTGTACTGAGTACTGGCTTAGGGGAGGCTGCAGCCGGAAGGTAGTCTTCCCGCCTTCTCCACCCAGTAAGCCGTATTTCAAAAGAATGAAGTCGACTTTGGCTCGAGGTGGAGTCCACTCCACAAAGGCCACAGTGTCAGAGACATCTCGAACCAGGATCTGCGTGGGCCCATCAATGACTGCAGGAGAAATACGACATGATGTTGATTCAGAGAAAGCATTCTTTGGCATCTATTTACCCCCTTTGCATCTTACACTAGCTTGCTTGGTGGGATGGGTTTCCTCGTCCCATTGTACCAATATAGGGAATATGGGCTATAGAAAGAGGAATTCTCTTCCTTGAGCAGACATTTGCTGACACCATGGACATTGATATTCAGTTCTCCTGAGACTTGGTCTCTTTCTCCATCCATTGACTATAAGTTTCAGGTGCTGGCATTTTCCAGTCTGGGCAGGGGAAGAACACTTACTAACTTGGATGACTCTGACCTGTTTCTTTCAGAGGTAATGACACAGGAAGAGAGAAGAAACTTCTGCCTGATCCCCAGCTCTTACCTTCACTGAGCCCAGAGGAAAGCTCAATGAGATCATGGAGACAATGGAGACCCAGCCTTGGTTGCCAAAGGTCTCATCATGAGTATTTAGAAATTATTCATATCTAGCTTCATTCAGCTTGGCCAACCAGTCTGGCATTTGCATATGTGGACATGAAACATGGCATTCAGGAATCTGAATACAAAGTGCTCTAACCCTGGAGTTGTTTTTGCAACCCCCCCTACCCCCACATAACAAGTGCCTACATGTTTCTGAGCCTGAGGACACTGGATACAAAGAATTCCCCAGGGTCTCTGGCACTAGAGATTGGCTCTAGAATTAGCCTGTGTAGAGCCAGGGCTGATGTGATGAGTCTCTACCACACTTATGGGGAAAGATGGAACATTTGAGATGGGAGGCATAGGTCTATAGATAAGCAGAAATGGGTGACCATGTGAGCTTTTGAAAAGACATAAAGAGTAACTCAATTTCTGATATTCTATTTTATGGTTAAAATCTTTTATGTGGCTCAAGTGTATTTCTGGTCCCAGGCTTCTAGGAAACATTTTATGTACTTTCCAGTAATCTTTCTTTTGCTTCAGTTAGTTTAAGTAACTTTCCATAGATTGTTCTGAAATCTTTGGCTAAGATTTTTGTTTTTAAATCTGTACACACTGGACACTTTTTATTCTGTCTCCAGCATGGGCATCTCCATCTGGACTACTGCAGGCTCAACTTTTCAAAGTTGGGCCATTCGCCAGGCACCCCACTCTCAGCCCATTGCCGTTTCCTATTAAGAAGCTTAGGGCTTTGGTCTAGTATCAGCTAAAATGAAAATCACTTGATTATTTTGGTACTTCCTGGTTTGGAATTAAAATGAATTTCAATTTTTCATACTTGAAGTAGTCATGTGTTTAAACAGAAAGCAGCCATATGGTTTCTTTGTAGTAGCTTTAAGTAACTCAGAACCTTTGTTATTTCACTTAATTTATTTACAGGGTGGCCAAACCCCCTTCTAGCTATGGCTTCAGTTCACTCTCTGAAACACAGAATATACTCAATGAGTGCTGAATGAATGAGTTGAATGGATAAGCCTCTCCATCCTTGAGAACAGGGATGGGAGAGCATTTCACTTAACTGGAGCTTTTTGAGAAAAAAAATGGAGTCAGGGGAAATCATATAACTACATAAAATCAGATAACTGCTTTTGTCCTTCAACTCTTTAGATCCAAAAACCCTAATCATAATGGATTGGCCATATTAGAATGTGATTATGTAGCACAGAGGGCGTTAGCTGCAGGAGGTCTTGCATTTGCATTCATAAAATGGCCTGCCTGGAAAAAGCCAGTCTAGTGTAGATGAGGACTTAGAGCTTCCCAGGAGGGGGTCGGTGTAGGTCAGAGCTTAGCAGAAGGACGTAATCAAATGATTGTTTCCTAAAAGCAGCAGACAAGGATGGGAGTCAGCCATCTTTCCTGCTTCACCTTGGATTCTGCCCTTCCTTGGTCAATTGGTTGTAATGTCCTGTTCCAATCAAGGCTGTAGCAGCTTGCTTTCAGACTCAGCCCTAATTTCTAAATGAATACACAAGTCCTTTCAAAAAGTGGAATGCATGAGTTTTTTCCTTCTTCCTCTTCTTTTTTACACTTTTCTTATAACTTTGTCCACGATGCTACTCCATTGAGTAGGATTTTTCTTAATTGAAAGCTGCCTAGCTTTCCCATGATTTCCTGAATCTGGAGCTTTTACTTTTAATTTTAAGGGACTCTCAAGAAGTACTTCAAATTTTATTTTAAAAATTGCATGGGTATAAAACCAAGGCTGGGTTGGATTGCTTCTGTAAGTGCCCCCAATACTCTGAAAGTAAATTACTCAACTAGAACGATCTCTCTGCTCTTCCCAACCGCCTCTTCTTTGCAGTCTTTTACCAGCTAATGCTTTCTTATGTCAGTCACAGGAACGGCTGGAGATTCTGCTACCAAACATGAGTAATCGGTGCCTGTTAAAAAGGTGCAGGCTTCAGAGTCCAGCATAACCCTGAGCAATAGATTTGTGCCTTTGACCTTCTGGAAAGTTCTCCAGAGCACCATGGCTTTGCCTCCAAGGGGTTTCTTCTCAAGTTCACCTGATTTTAACAGTGCTTTAATGAGCTTCTTCCTCATAGTGATACTTCATTTATTTGTTTTTTTAATCTTAAATGGATGTACAAAATACAAAATAGGTCAAAGCAGGACTTTCCCATCTGACGGTATGGGAGAGAAGTTAATTAAAGGTGTGGATCATACACACACCCCTATCCTGACCTTGAGACACGGCTCTGGAACCATGATGTACCAATGCAACATAAGTTAATGCCAGTGTATGTATGTATGTATGTATGTACGTATATATACATATAAACACTCAGCTTTTTCTATACTGGGCATAAGTCTCAGAACCTGATGCTGTTAGTTTGGATATGAATATCTAAGTTTGAACCATTAACCCATAAACACTGCTGTATTGTGTAGTGCTATGGTTCCCTTTTCTACCTAAGTCAACTTTTCGTTCTGGACTTAAAACTGACTTTCTAGGGTGTTTATTTCTGTTTATGAAAAAGAAAACTGTATTAAATTCATGTAGCTCAGTTTTTGTTGCTAACAGGGAAAGTTGCTTAAACTCTATATCTCATCTTCCCCATCAATAAATGAGAGCCAAAAATGAATACCAGATGTTACTTAGCACTTTGAAGCAACTCTGAAGGGTCATACACATGCACATCACAGTGAATAAATTACAGCACTCAAGCTAAGAGGACAAATAAGGCAAAATATGACATGATTAATGAATTGATCTTGAAAATATAATGATTCTGAATGAGATAAAGTGTGGGCACAAAATAATAACTTGAGCCATCACTTTGATAAGTGATTTAACTCTGCCTACGGGTTTCAAGTAGTCTGCACCTTACTGCCTTTACTTCTGACATGTTTTGTATGTATGTATACCAAGTACTAAGCATCATCAGTATAACAATAATTATGTCATATACTGTATTTAATCTAATCCTCAATTCAATAGAGGTGTTATAAAACAGGTTGAGGTTTAGAAAGGTTTAGTTAAATTTCTTCAAGAATGAAGTAGGTGAGAATGTGTTGGCTCTTGCTGGTTTCAAAGTTTATGACAATAGGAGGTTGATGAATGAGGTTTCTTGATGAGTGAGATTAGTAAAACATACTGGAGCTATTAATAGAGAATTTCCTCAGTGGAACACTTCCCCAGGTTTCTGTGCTTGCAAAGTTGAGCACTAAGAAAGAGGGTCTGCTAAGCACCTGGTAAAGCAGGTCCATTTTCAAGTTCCTGTATCATTTCAGCTCTGTGATGAATCCTCGCATCTTCCTTACCTGTTCATTCCTTGTAGTTCTTTGGGCAGCCATGGAAAGAGTTGGAGGTACTTACCAGTGGAGACGCTGGCAGAAGTAGGAGGGCTGCGGGCTTGTTCCTTAAGAGCCACAACATTCACAATGTACTCCTCTCCAGGTTTCAGTCCTGTCTGGTTAAAGGAGGTAACGTCGCTGGGGAGCTGAGCAATCACCCCTCCTTCGTTGTTCTGGAGAATGGGGCAAAACAGAGAAATCACAAGGATCACTGGGAAAGAAATACGATGAGAAAAAGATGAAGGAGCAGGATGCTAACTGTGCACAATGGAAATTAAAAAGCAGACCACATCTGTTCCCTACACGCTAGCAGCTGAGTACTTGGGGCCAGGAACATGCCAAACAGGCTCAATAAGAACCAGTTTACAAGGACATTTCTTTGGCCTGACTTTGCTGAGTCCCCCCTGCTCCCCGCCCAAAACACACACACACACATACACACACACACAACTAGTCATACAGTGATTCAGATTGACTTTTGTCAAAGATTTAATGTTTGATGGTCATGATCAATGTGCCTGAGATGCTGCCCTCCCTGCCTCTATCCACAGCATCGGTGCTTGTGTCTACCTTGTCAGGAAGGGGGTTCACCTGCTAGCCAGGTGGCAGAAGCAGAGTACCCAGATATAACACTTACTGTGGCTTCTGGAAGGTTTAGAGAAATGTCAGGAAGCTGGGGCTGGTGAGATAGTTGAAGCATTTGTCATAGGTGAAAATTTTAGGAGGGCCCCAAAACATAGGACTCTAGAAAAACTATGTTTTAGTGCATTTAAAAAAGCAAAATTCATGAAAATACAGGATGAACAAAATTTTATATGATAGTGTCTGATCCTGTGTTTTAATACTCTCCTTATCCTCTTTTCCCTCACCTAATCAAGGTCCTTCCTATCCTGCCAGCCATTTCAAAGGCCTGAGAGAGCTAATACAGTGTTGAAAAGGGCTAGCCTTAGAACCTGTGAGTGGCATTTTCAGTAATACATCAAAGCTCAAGAAAATATGCACTCTATAAGACACATGAACATTTTCTAGTTGTATATCAAATTTAATGAAAATAATACTCTTTTAAAAATACAAAATCTAGGCCGGGCGGTGGTGGTGCATGCCTTTAACGCCAGCACTCAGGAGGCAGAGGCAGGCGGATCTCTGAGTTCGAGGCCGGACAGCCTCCAAAACAATACAGAGAAACCCTGTCTTGTAAAAACAAAACAAAATCTACACAATCTAAATCACAAGAAAGAAAAGTTTCTAACACCAAGGCTTCTTTGGTATTTTAGCATCTCTGTTTATCAAATTTTATGTAAACTATGTATTTTTTTAAAAAATCAATCCATCAGTATAAAGCGCATTTCTCTGTTCGCTAAACATTCTCCTATAATTTCCTAAGTGTTGCTACTTGTATGTGTATCTCTAAGCAGTTATGACAAATATCCTTGCAGATAAGTTGTTTTTTTAAATCAGATGTTTGTTTCCTTGACACAATAAAACATTTAATTCTTAAAAAAAAGAGTTTTGGCACCTATTATAATGAGTATGCCCTTAGCTGTTTATTAGAATGCACTTGTGTGTGTGTGTGTGATATTTTAATCCAAGACATTAACATATTTTTTAAACCCAGAGCTATTGTCTCACTCTGTTTTCTTTCTTGTGGTGCCACCCTGGTTGCCAATCTGTCACCATCATGTTTTCCCTTCACTCATACCACGAAGTACAAAGAAAATGAAAAGGAACAAAGAAAGAAATAGAAACAGGAAGCAGAGAGAAAGGAGGCAAATATGTAGGAAAAGAAATGTGAAAAAGGAATTTGATGATATTGGATCCAGGATTTATCAATTTTAATCTATCCATCTACCGTCTATGTATGTATGTATGTACATATGTACGTCCATACCTATATACCTCCATCTATCGGTCTACCTACTGTTTTTTCCTAATGTCTGCTTTGGAAATAGCAAAGGCAGAGATCCTTTTGTAACCCTGCCACTCTTATGTGTTCTTTGGTCTCTATGTCACTTGGGTGCTCCATATATAACTTATAGCCATGCTCTTATAAATCAATGTGATAAATGTTCCCTTCCTGTGGCTTCAACCTATATATTACAACATATATTCCATGCAGCCATGTATTTGATCTTGGCTTGCCCTGACTAGCTCGTCTCTCATTCTACATTTTATATATTATATGTAGAGCAGGAAAACTCGACAGTTATTTTTTTTCCTGTCTGTACAGCAGGATAACATGATTCTTCCTACCTTGTTTTAAACCCAGTTGCCTGCAATTCTTTATTGGCCATTTAATTCAGGTAAGACATATTCTAACAGATTTGTATACAACATCTGTTTAGGTGTACTTAGCTTGCTGTGACATGACTATATCCACAGAAGGGTGTGTGAGCTCTGGAGGAGAACCTGAGATTCAGGTTCTACTTAAACCTGGCCAATGAAGTCAGTTAAGATCTGAGTCTTGGTTTCCTTAGACTAAACAAAACTAAATGTAAAATGAAGGCTCATATTCTATTTGCATGAAGGTCTTTTGTAGCTACAACAGTCATGGCTCCAGGAACTTGGGAGTAAAAGAACAGTAAAACCACAGTCTTGTTAGCCAAAAATGTGTCAGCTGTCATTAGGTCTGATGAATGACTCAAAAAATGCTTTGTGATGGTGAGGGATGGAGACAGAGGAAAGGAGTGTGCTGAACCCCACATCCATGAGTGATGCTTAGGGAGAATATGAGCAGAGCCAACAAATGCCGGAAACTGGAACAGTGCTGGTGACTTGCAGACAGTTCCGGGACCCATAAAATAAAACATTGCTTTAAAGACCAGAGAGGACTCTCAGGACACTTTTAACTCATGAGTTATAATAATGAATTTGTTAAAGGAAAAATTTGCTTAATGGATTATAAATTCATTTTGACTAATTCAGGAAAACCAAGACACATTTTACATCTCTAACCTTCAGAGGTCAAAAGCCACAGCTAACTTTAAATTTTTTTTCTCTACACTTATCTGTAGGCTGACTGTGTGACTGGATCCACTTGTTTGTTCTTTTGTATAAAGGGGAGGGCTCGACTCTTTGAAGGCTTGGTTTTCAGGCTCACTACAAGCACAGCTCTCCAAACCCTGGTGTTCCCTCAGCAGACAGCTGGATCTTGGTACTCTTTCTGTATACCCCATCATCCAAGGCCTGGGGCTGAGCTCAGGTTATATTTGTTAGGCAGTCCTCTGGTCTTTGTGAGGACAGACTCCTACAGCCCAGACTCTCACAGTATGCCTTTCTGTATCTTCAATGGATTTGGCAGTTACATCAGATAGTACCCTCCTTGTTGACCCTAAATCTAAGTTGAGGACAGGAATACACCAAATCAAAAATTTTTAAACGAGCTGGGAGTTGAGTGTTACCTTTGGAATGAAGCTGATCTCCCACCCATCGAAGGGGAATGAGAAGGGCTCCCACTGCACCTCCACGGTGGTCTCTGTGATCGTCTTGAACTGTAGCCCTTGAGGAGTGGAGACATCTGGAACACAGCAATGTGGGTGGCAATGTCATGGCCATCCCTGGCAGGGGCAGTGATTGCTTCCTGGTGCTTTGTCTTGTGACCTCCCTTGGTGTCCTGGGTGAGGAGAGGTGTGGTGGGCAATCCCAATCCTGCTGCACACAGAGTCTCGGTGGCAGGGTAGCACACTGTCATGTGACCCTGGTGCTCAGTGTGCATGAATACATGAGCAGACTTAACAAATGTAATCATTAGTTCTGTGCTTTCTAGTACATAATAGAAAATGTTAACATTAAAAATTTTTAAATCATGCTTTCTTTTCCTTACTCATGTGGTAGATCCTGGCACTGAATAAAAATCCTTTCTCAGAGGACTCATGTAAGATGTCATGCAGGATTCTGGGGAGGCAAGATAGTGGCCAGTATCAGCGTTCCTGTTTTATACCCAGGCAAAAGGAGGGACAGAGGAGGCTGGCTGGAGATGTAGGATAAAGCCAGCTTCAGAATAAAGCTGGATGCTTTCCATGAGTATCTGAGGTGCACTGAAAGCATTGGGACTCAAAGCACTACACCTCAAATGGTGTGAACTCGCCACTTTAGATGTATAAAGAAGCATAGGCATACACAGAGTGTTGCTCCCATTTCTTCTCTAAATTCCCTCCTGTTCTTTTTTTCTTGCTCACCTTTGCCTTACTTATCTAGTTTTTCTTTGCTCCTAATCTCTTTTTCTCGCCATCCCCCAAAAACACACACACACACACACACACACACACACACACACACACACACACACACACACATACACACACACATACACAGGCTTAGTGAGGTGGAAGTATGTCACCATCCCTGAAATACAACAGTGTGACTTTTCACAGTTCTCTAGGAAGCCTGCTCCCATGTTAGTATTGCTTTTCAGACTATTCCCACTGGAAAAGGATGGATTCTTTCTTGTTTTGTTTTTTTTTTTCCCTGTGGAGAAGCTTCCTTTGCTCCAGGATGGAAAGGCAGGGCTGACTCGGAAGCCACATGAAGGAATGGCAGGTGAGTTTACATGACTTGTCTTTGTCACTTATGAGCAAGCCTGAGGGGATGCCCTGAATTGGCACAATAAATGCCATCAGAGATGGAAACCGCATCAAGACATGGGTATGGATTAGAGAGGAGTGGCTTCTGGATGGGCCAGGCACTCCAGGGGGTGACTCATCCCCCAGCACAGTGGGGAAGGCAGCAGATGGTGACCTGCCTCTACACAGTCACTGAAGATATTTAAAACTAGTTCTCGGGCACCAGATTGTTTTTAAGGGTCAAATATAAATGGAGATAATTATAGGCAGATTAACACACTCAGCATTTGTGGAGGAGTCCAATAGCATTTTAACACTTTGGCCACCTACAAGTGGGACAAGGTGATTTTCTTAAGCCTTTGTCTCTTTCAAATTTCAGTCTTTAACTTCTTTGAGGTCCTCAAGACCAACTCTTTTACTTTGACATTTCCATTTTCTGACATTTGTTATCCAAATGCCATTTGTCATTTGAGACCTACATAAAATGGACTCAAATCTCTTATTTTCTATTTGGCCATAAGTTCTCTTTACAGACCCCAGGGGCTTTCTGAATTCTAAGGGGCCCTGTTTCCATGGCCACACATCTTGTTCCAGTCTCTTATCTCAGCCCTCATCCTTCACATGTTCTCTGTGTAGAATCCAGTTATGCATCTGTTCATGCAGGTTATGCACTAGATTCTTCTGGCTAGCATGAGCATAGGCTGCTGCTCAACTACTGGAAATTTCTTTCAGGAGAGTTGCTCATTTTAGTTTTGGAAAGTTGAAAGTAATACAGACTCTTTGTAACGATTTAAGAATTGAGAAGTATATATAAAATAAAAGGAAATAGTTTCCTTTATTTTTGGGTAGCTTCAATGTGAACACTTATAAGCTATTGCTTAATTTTTCTATGGTGAACTATGCATACACAAAATGTAGATAAGGGTCTAGAGGAGGTCTTCCTTGTTATAAAGAAACAATAAAAACTTTCCAGAAATTATGCATCATGAATTCAGCTCAGCCTGCTTTCTGTCTATATCTTCACTATCACTCTCGTCATTGTAGCTTTCTAAATTATCTTCTAGAACCTCGATTTGTATTATTACTAAAGCGAATATCAAGAGATTTTGCTAAAATAAAAGGTCATAAAGAAGTGGTGCCACTTATAGAAATAGGTTTGTCATCTGTGACTTAAAATAATCATTGTTTTTTTTTTTCTGCACTCTGCTTAGCACTCACCACCTATAACATTTAGTCCTTGTTTGTTTTATTTCATAGCTCCTAGTTTTGAATCCCTAACTAGATTCAAAGTCTGTATAAATCTCATACTTTCCTCAACTTCCATCAGAATCCAGCTTATAACAAATCAGGTGCTCAATAATTACAATATTTTTGTTCTATTCATGGATGTTGCCTGAATTTGGAAGCGCCTGTTTAATGGTGGGCACTTTTTAAAAATAGGTCACATCTGAAACCCTTACCCCTAAGAGCAAACTATTGCAGGCATCCCTAAAGAATTAAGAAAAGACAACACTATTCATGAATGCCCATGATCTCATGTAGGAGAAAATAAAAATGAAGCAGGACGGGGAAATGGTACGTACGAGTGGCCACCTTGGCAGTGATGGGAAGGCTGAGGATGTTGCTAATGACAGCGTAGACGCTGATGTTGTAGGTGAGACCTGGCTCCAGCTCCGTGATGGTGACACCACTCCAATCTCCAGGCACCCGCTGCTGGAGCTGGAGGCCCCCCAGGGCCATCGGCTGGTAAGAGATCACATATTCCGTCACTGCCATCGGCCCGTCCCATTCCAGCTCAATGGACCTGTCGCTGATACCAGCCACTCGCAAGTCCTCTGGAGGGGCAACTACCAGGAGGCAATACACAGACAGCATGAGCTCAGAGGATTGCCTTTCCCAGCCCGGACTCAACTTTCTTGTTCATGTCTCACCCCCTAGTTAAAAGTCTGTAGTTCAGTTGGGCTCCATGGCTTGCTTCCCTACTGGAAAATGCCAAGCTCCACAAGACCATAAATTAATGTGGTACTGAAGCTGGTCCCTCACTGCCTTGTGAAGGCTGACTGTTAAATGATCAGGAATTTTGCCTGACCATTCACAGGTATTGTCATCGTTAAAGATGAAGTGCTATGAAATGGTAATTAAGCAAATTGCATCTAAAAGGTAATTATTGAAGACCTGCCACTTTCAGATCATTTCATCGCATTTTATAATTAACTATGTTTTAAAGGTGATTTTTGTGTGTTGCATCTGTGGTAGAAATGCTACGTGGTTGTGTTCAGTTGCATGTCTGTTCTCAACCCCATGCTTAATCATGTCACATAAGCAGCTTGAAACCGGCCATGGAGGTGTTTTCACCATGGAAATTTGCAAAAGCTACAAATAAGAGCTTACTAGTTTGTTTTCCTTCAGAGAGCTAGTTGTTAGATTTTTCACAGCCCACTGTGACCAGCTAAACAGTTTGGTAGTTTAATAAATTACTGCTGTCAAACTGTCCTGACAGCCAGGGTCTTATTTAGCAAGTGGAAATTAAGACTAATTCCTGTTTTTCCTACAAATTATAAGAAGCCTAAACAACATGTCCTTTATCTCATAGCCTAATGAAGATGCTCAGAAGTTCTTTATTATAACTCCCCCCCATTAAAAGGACAACATTTAGGTTCTGAAGCAAATGTAAGTTGTTTCAAACTAATTTTCATTAGCCTTGACCTTGGAGATGATGACCAGGGAACATTCTTGAGAGCTTTGCTTTTCTCACTTGTCCAGCTTCACAAATGCTATGCAGAGTTGCCAAAGGTTAAACCATATTGAGATAGCCTTTCTTGTATAGCTCCCTTGGGAAGCCAAGCTTCACTGTAGGATGGGTATCAAATCATTGAACCTTTAAGGCTAATTAGGAGGCTAACTCTAGTGTTTATAATTGGACACACTCATAGATTACAGCAAAGATCAGGCCAAGATTTATGTGATTGCAATTAACTTTCATGTTTGTAGGTAGTGGAGGTTTGGTTCCCATTGGTTTCAGAGTTGTCATTGGTTTTGAATTTTTCTTCTGGGTAACCTCACCCTTTACAAACAAGCAGGGCCAGGCCAGGCACTTTTTACAGGAACATGAGAGTATGAGAGGAGACAGCCTGCCTCCTTAAGTTCACACCAGAAACCTCAAATTCTTGGCTAGCAGAACTGAGGAACCCTTATCTGATTCAAGATTCCTGGGTAAGAATAATATCACAGTTCTACAATGCTGGCTATTTGCTTTTGCCCCCAACCATTCTCTGCACAAAACAGCTGAGAAAATAAACTTTCTTCTGAGTGAAGAGGGAAAACATTATCTGAAGCAGGAAATCTATACTTTCTTCTATAATCAATTGATTTGTCATTGTTCTCACAATGTAGCCTAGGCTGTATAGAATTTAACGGTCTTCCTGCCTCACCCCATCTCCCGATTGCTGGGATTATAGCTCTGTACCATTATTCCCATTCGTGTCTTAAAATCTACTCCAGACAAACTTTCAAAACTAAAATAAGTATAAATAAAAACAATTAAACCCTTAAGTGTCCTGTTTATGGCTCTGACATTATAAATGCTGAAGTGCACTAGCAGAAACCCTGCCGTTATTTGTCATAGTGTTTCTGGTGGGCAAAATACTAATCATTTTACCCTGGGTTATCCCAATTCAACTTCCCACCAGCACAGCAGGATAGGTTTTATTATTACTCCTAATTTATACACAAGAAAAATGAGGCACACAGCAAATAAAGACAGAAGCGAGGATTTGAACCTGGGCACAATGACTAGAGAAGCTGTCAGCAAACACATTATTCTAGATTACAGTTCTAAAACATTTCAATGATAAATCATGTCAGACATACCATTCAACTAGTTAAAAATCCTTTTATAACAGTCCTGGGAGGTAGTTCAGTAAGGTAGGGTAATCTTAACGTGGTAAAAGGGGGCTGAGTAGAGGGGTGTGCCAAACTCCAGGAAACTGAGTCAGGGCAGAACTAACTCTCAAACTCAGGTCTTGCATGGAGTGGGCTATCCACTCCACCTGCAATCTTCTTTCATTTATGTGCAGCCCTTCAAGGATTGTGTAGAAAGCTCCAATCCAGAAGACCTACACTTGTGTTCAACAGAGTTTTTTCTTGTGCTGCCTCTTGTGAATCAACACCTTTACTCTGAGAGTTGTTGGCAGGACTCCTCCTGTCAGTGGCAGAAACGGTCACTCCAAATTTCACGTCACGGGCAACTCTTGGGACTAGTCAGTGTATTCCTTCTTCCAGAAAAATGGAGCTAATGATAGCAGCAGGGGCTGATCTAAGCTCAGCATTTAGAATCGTCAAGAAAATAAGATGCAGAGAAATTTTCATCCTGCTGGCTTAGGCTTGTTAATACTGCCTTCACATCTGCCTGCGAGAGTGGCATCTGCTCTTACCAGTGGTAAAAGTACTCTGGTAAGTGATAGGCCAATGAAGGTGTCAGCAATCACTCTCAAACAAAGCAGTACTGAACTATAAAGCAAACTGCAAAAGAGATGCGTGCAGTGAGCGTGTGGTAAGGGGCAAAGCATTTTCAGTCCTACACCCTTTTCAGATTTCACCTGGAGTCTCATGGAAAAGCAAGGGGCTAGAGAGGAAGAGGCTGGCTGGAGGGTCCAGGACTCTATTTCCAAAGCAGCTTTGCCATTTACTTTTCATATCTTGCATCACTTTTGTGCTTAGTGAGCACAGGGGGAGGCAGTTCCAGGCTGTGTTTTGCTCCATGGAGCAAGTGGTCCCAGAAGCCAGAGGTGGGGCAGCTTGTCTTGACAGAGCTGACAATGACGTTGATGGATCTGCACACGGTCTCAATGAATTCCAGGGAACCTTCCAACAGCTCATTCACCAGCTCCTGTCCTAACCACCATGTGGGATGGATACACACAATGCATTGTAGGTGCTTCTCATTAAAGACAAAACACATTTATGAGTCTCAGTATTTATGCCAAAAAGACTGCTCCTGGTGTATTTGATGCCAAAGATTTTATTCTTTTTTTTTCTGTTTGGCTTATCATCTTAAAGAGGTTTAGAGAATGCTAGAAGTTGGTGGGTGACCAGAGTTCCCATTCTTACTCTGTTTTAATGATGAGCTGTTCGTTCTGGGAAGAACCCATCTCTGAATGCTGCTTTTTAAATCTCTAGGAGAAGCCCAAAGCAGCTTTCCTCTAAGGCTTGTTTTGTGTGCCCAGATTTGGGAGGCTTTGCTGTATCACCTTTACACAGGCAGAGCACGAGGCAGAAAGACATATCATGAGCAAAGGTCAAGTCTAGGAGTCAACTGTAATGGCCTTGCTGCCACCAGTCAATTTTACTGATGCTAGGGTATAGGGACCTCACAACGAAATCCATATGGTGGACAACTATTCTACATGTCACACCGAGGGAAAAAAATGGTGACCTACAAGGAAGGCTATTTTGTGGCTGTCCATGTTTTCCCCTTTCTGACCCTTCTGTCCTCTATCTCTGCACTCCTGGGAGCTATCTTGTGTGCACCTGGCCAGAAATGTCAAACAGTGAGTAAATAGGCCCACTCCTACATCCTCTTCTCAAAAAGCTAGTAAAATAGCACTTTAGATAATGGCACACATCTCTTTCTGGAAGAGACCTGTGGCATTTGGTTTTAAAGGCAGGCATCAAGAGGAGTCCTCCTGCAATGAGAGGTGGCTCCAAGGTTGCTATAGAAACAGAAGGAGATTATGCAAATGTCCTTCCTCATGGGCTTTGAACCAGTAAAGAAAATTTATCTGAGTTTTCAGAAGTCTTCCTCAAGATGAGCAGAGCTGACATGTCAGAAGTAGCATGTATGCTAGGCTTGGTCTTGAGCCAATTGTAGCTATATTAACAGCTGGTGAATCTTGCCTGATATGATCGAGGTATTATACCTCAAGTTAGGTTGGAACACTGGATCAGATTGTTTTTCAAACAGACCTGACCCTGGAGCAAAGCATGTCTTGATCATGACAAGTATACGTAGATTCACAAACTTTGATTGTATTAAGAAGCATGTGTACTATAGAACAGCAATTAAATAACAGTGACTCAAGTTGACCCTTGGCATCCTCTGGATGGGGCATCATACTCTTGGTGGTAACAAGGTTATGCTTCAGGTTTGTAGCAATTGTCCTCGTGCTTTGGATTCAGAAGTGCTGAGGATAATGTCTGTTTCAGTTTTGCTTTGGAATAGTTGGTATAGTAACCATACTTTTAGAAAGGAATTTCAATTCAGTAAACAGAATGGAAAGGCTAGATGAAATAATTAAATATATAAGAAATGTAACATAGGGGAAAATTCTTTCTAAGCAGTGAGTTTAGCACTTTGTTGCCATTAATCCTTTAGAGGAGTTCAATTTGAAGCCACACATGCAGATGCTGAATAACAGAAAACTGTGGAAGCTGGCTTCCCAGGATTTGTCCCTTAGAAATTACTAGAATTACTCAATTGGAAAGTTTAAAAATGTTGTTTGTTTTTACTCATTTAAAAATTTCCCAGGAGGCATTCTGAGTTCATAACGGAAAGGATCAATTACTTAATCTATACTTGTAAGAGCACAAATTTATCAGCAATGGTTTCTGATTTAGTTGGAGTAGGATGAACAATAGAGAAACAATGAAAATAATATCATCTGTGGAAAAAACATAAAAATCACCACCAGCCCCGTGAAATACTGCCATCTCCCTCACAGCTGGATTTGGGTCTGAGAACATCATGGCAGGGCATGACTGTCCTATCATTTCCTACAATGTAGGCTACATATGGAGTTGGTTCCTGTCTGTGCTATAGTCATCTGGAACAAAATGAGTCATATCTGTTTAATAGTCTATACTAATTGCTAAAATGTGAGCTCCTCGGTAATTTCATAAGTGTAATCTCATCCTGCAATCTGTAAGATAGCCAGATAAATAGAGAACTAGAGCCATCCTTCCTCAAGCAGTGATGTAAGATGTTGAGATACAGTAGTAGATGAGCAGGTATAATTGGCGAACTCCCATTAGTTAAAGACCAGCCTTACCTAGCATGGTTCCCTGACTTTTTGGGGCTTGCTGTGATTTGAATATGGTTTGTATGTGTTCCCTTAGGCTTCAGGAGTTGAAATTTCATTCCCATTCTGAGTTATTAAAAAAAAGAGTACAAACTTAATCGGGCAGTGGTGTATAGAGATAGGGTCATTGGAAGTGATTCCGACTAGCAGGATCCATCCACTCAGTAGAGACCCAGATCTCATCCTGAATGTGCCCTCACCATTTTTTTTTTGAGACAGGGTTTCTCTGTATTGTTTTGGAGGCTATCCTAGAAATCATTTTGTAGACCCGGCTGTCCTCGAACTCACAGAGATCTACCTGCTTCTGCCTTCCAAGTGCTGGGATTAAAGGTGGGCGACACCAACACCCGGCAACCTCACCAATTGTTATGGACCCAAAACCAGTACAACCAAACTGGGAATTATTTTGGCCCCACCCCTCCATTCTTCCTTTCCAACCAACTGGAGCTAGCCCCAGCGTGTCCCTCTTCCTACCTGCTGAGCAATCCAGGCCCTCGTAGCCCTCCTCACAGATGCAGAGGCCCTCCTGGCAGTGTCCTCGCCCACTGCAGGCATTCAGACACCGTCGCTGGCTGCAGTCCTCACCAGCATAGCCTTCCTGGCACAGGCAGGTGCCATTGGCACATTGCCCCTTCCCTGAACAGTCTTCGGGGCACCGGAGCTCCCTGCAGTCCTCGCCTGTGTAGGGCTCTTCACAGACACATTCCCCATCCACACAGAGGCCCCGGGAACTGCAGTCTGTTGGGCACCGAAGCTCAGAGCAGTCATCGCCGCTGTATTCACTGTCACAAATGCACTGGCCATCAACACACACACCCCGGCTGGAGCAGCCCAGTGGGCAGTAGGGCTCTGAGCAGTTCTTGCCATACCAGCCTTCATTGCAGATGCAGCCACAGGACTCAAAGCTAAAGTTGCCATGGCCACTGCAGTGAGGAACATAGTCCAGTTGTCCTAGAATGGCCAAGGAGAAGGTCAAAGGGCAGCAGTGGCCTCTCATAAATCATACTGGGGAGGGTTGAGCAGAGATGTGTACTCGTCCCTTGATCACATTGGTGCTGCTGAGAGTTAACTACAACTTAGTTTGGTACAAATTCAACTTAATGCTTTCACCCAGTGCAATTGTCTATGCCTAACACAGCACTGAAGGTGAAGATGGCTAAGATCTGAGCCATTGTCCTCTTTCAGATAATCTTCTAAGCATCTTAGGTTAGGTTCCCTAGAAGCTAATACAAACACTTACTAAAAACTGTTCCCAGAAGAAGCTTGCTGTAGTACGTTGGGAAGGGGAATCAGGAAGGCGTGTGGCTGAGCCAGAGTATGATTATGCAAAGTCCCAGGAAGAATAACTCAGATTCCTGCAGTGTTCTAGAAACAGTACAAGGCACATTTCTCATGAGGTCCTTCTCTGAGCACATGCAAGCTCTAGGACCCTCTTTGAGCATGCCAAGTGTTCTGATAGGCTAAGGACATTCCTCTAACAAAGAAGTCCAGGTGCCAGGTATAGGTGTGAGGGGGATGTAGGCAGAGCACTAGATCCACTATGCAGGTGGAAGTCATATGTTACAAACCTGTCCCATCTTTTCCCTTCCTGTCACTGGATACTGTACATGTGTCAACCCCAAGATTTCATCAAAGGCTTCCTGAAGCACAGTTTCAGTCATTTTTTGCTATGATACCTGCATGATTTCATGCATATATTTTGCCTCAGGCCTTTTGCATAAAGTTTTATGGCTAAATAATGAAGTCCAAGTTCAGTCTAGTGGTCCATATTGCCTGAAAAATATACTACACTGACATTGCTTAATATAGTTCATCCTAATAGAATTTTCCCTAACCAGTGAATGATCTAAGTGGCAAGCTGGTGAATTCTGGAGCAGGAGAGACCATGTCTATGGGAATCTATGTTTCTCTCTTGGTTTTAAGCTCCATCAGAAAGATGGACCAACCTATCAGAACTTGCTGAAGAACAGGCATGTGGACATCTTGATTTCACTGTGTAGTAATCTCATTGTCAATAATCTGAGGAAATTCTATAAAATACTCCACTAGTCATATTGGCCCTGATTTTACTATGACTTGGGGAGAATGGGTTTCCTTTCTGAAGCTATAGATCCCAAGGGTTGATATAACTTCCCTCCACTTTCATCTTGAGCCGTCAGATCATACAGAGGTGAACACTTGCACCCAAGATTAATGGATGGTTGTTCCTTGTCATTCAGTGCCAGAACTATATGAGTCTGGGGGATCCTTTGGATGGAGAAATCTGGGCACAAGGCTGACTGGGTGCAGCTAACGGTAGCCATTGCTTATATGATGCTTACTAGCAATCAGACTCTCATCCAACTAGGTGAGTTAATAGTTAATAGCTCCATATTGCTCTAGTCTGTCACAATTTATAGACAAGGAAAGAAAGGCATAGGCTATGTGACTTCCTTAGATCACAAGCCAGAGGTGGCAGAGCAGATCTGAATTCAAAGTCTGACTTTGAAGTCTTGATCACATCTTATAGTAAGGAACAGATGAACAATGACAGAAGCAAATCTACTGAACATTCAGGCTTTTGGAGAACAGGATAAGGTGTGTGTGTGTGTGTGTGTGTGTGTGTGTGTGTGTGTGTGTGTGTGTGTGTGTAAGCCCATGGCTATATTCATGGATTGGATCAAGATAAAATTCCCATCTTGCTGCAGGAGAGGGGAACAGGTCCTCTGTGACCTTAATGACTTCCATTTGCTCAGAGGGGAACAAGTTGCAAGTGAATGGACAGAGCACCACACGCTCTAGTCAGTCAGGTTAACATGAACGGATATCAACTCAACAGCCTGTGAAAACCAAAGATGAATGAAGACAGACATCAAATTCCCTGCCTGCCATCAAAGTTGCCATGTCGAGCCGATGTACCATTACCTGACTCATCCCTCCAAAATCAGGTTAATATTTTTCAAACTGGGTAAGCAGTGTTGAGAATCCCTGAACCGAATCCCCAGGGAATGGCTGCATTTAGATCTTACAGATGACACATTAACTGAGAGCTATATACTAGGCACTTTTTTCTTTGACCCTGTGAAGAGATACTGGGTTTCTCTTCCTCTCACTTCACCCCCCTCTTCGCTCACCCTCTCCTTTCCCACCAGGGACCAGGATGCAAGCACTTTAGACTCTACCTGTGGCTGCACTTTCCTGACAGCAGTTTGTGTTGCACTGGTCTCGCAGTAAGGACACCTCCCTCTCCAGCATCTCGATCCGACTCAGCAGCTCCTGCAGCACCTGGGCAGAGCTGGCACACGGGCAGGCTTTTTTGGGGAGGTTGATCCTGTGAGTGAAGGTGACCTGGCTTTCATGATCTGAGGTTTGGCCTATGTATTCTGCCAGAGTATCATCTTCAGTGCTCACTTCATGTTCTGCTGAAGTCTCCAGCCCTGAGGAGCAGAGGCTCTCTAGCGGGACGTTGATGTTATACACGTGGTTGAAGACCATAGGCTGTTCCTTGCTGGATGTGTTGTAGCTGGAAGTCCCTCCTTCCTCCTCCACAGTTTGTCTCTGGACCCGTTCTGTGGTCACCTCCAGCTGACACTCAGATGTCTTGAGCATGGATCCCAGCAGGATCAGGTTTACGCCAATGAGCATGTTCTTCAAAACCACTGTTTCCCCATCGAGCCCCATCCTCTCAGTCAGAGGTTCAAGAGCTCCCTGTAGTAGCCAGCATGGAGTTATGGAAATCTGCAAGAGAAAGCAAGGGGTAAAGGCACAGATTGACTCTGAAACCTGTACCTGGGTACCATGACTCTCATTCTGTAAAGCTAGAACATATGTAGATAGAACTTCTCTGGGGCTGTGGGGAAAACTGGGAAGAGAAGGAAATTGGGTTCTAAGTCAGAAAGCTGGGCCTTTGTTCTCCTGAAAACTGGATTCTTGATAATGGATAACACTTGCATATAAGGGTATTGTTATGGCTTTAATTTCAAATGGCCCCCTCTTAAAGCTTGTTGACAGATGAAGGGTTGAGAAATGCTTGGATCATGAGGGTTTTGATTCTATCAATTGATGGATTCATACATTCACAGCATTACATATTGAAAGAAGCAGGTCACTATGGGCATACCTTTGAAAGGTTGTGGTGATTTATATCAGAATGGTCCCTATAGGCTTATATATTTGAAGGCTTAGTCACCAGGGAGTAGAGGTATTTGAAAGGATTAGAAGGATTAGGAAGTGTGGTCTTGTTGGAAGAAGTGTCATTGGGGGTAGGCTTTGAGGTTTCAAAAGCTTATGTCAGGTCCAGAATCTCTTCTCTATCTCTGCCTATGGAGCAGGATGTAGCTCTCAGCTACTGCTCCAGCAATAGAACAGTGACTAAGACAAGGGTACATCTTATTCCCAGTCATTTGTCTTCTCTCTGCTTCCTAGCCACCATGAGGGAAGCGGCTTTCCTCTGCCACATCTTTCTGCCACAATGGATGGAAACCTTTGAAATCACAAGACAAAAAAGTCCCTTCTTCCCTGAGGGTTTTTTGTTTGTTTGTTTTTTAGGCCTCCTTTCATTACAGCACTGAAATGTCAGACTAATGTCACCATTTAGGCACAGAATTCAATAGTCTGTCCCCACAGTGCACAAGGAACTTCTAGAACATATACTAGGAATAGAGGCTCTTTGGACAGCCTCTTCCAGTGAGGAGACTTCAAAGCTTCTCTTCACTTTTAAATGAAAGTTAGGATGAAGCAGACCATAGAAACTTAGAGGCATTCCCATGTTGCCTCAGATATTTATTATAAAGGGGCCTCACTGGGCATGTCAAATAACTTATCCATCAGCTCTTTAAGCTCACCTATTCAACAGAGGTTGACTTTATAATAACCAACCAGCCAAATAATGTAGTTCCAGGCAGTTCGTGATTGTTAATTATCCTTGGGTACATTTGTGATTTATCTGGGTTGATGTAAACCGAGCTTTGTTTTAATCTTCTCATTTAATATAGTCCCTGTGCTCTGTGACCACAGGGTGCCTTCCTTCTGAGGTCCTGTTTAAATAGCTAAAATAATGAATTAGCTCCTCTGTTGGTTACCTAGTCACCAAGAACCATGCAGTATAATAAATTCACAGTAATAAAACTCTGTTTTACAAAAATTATGTTTCCTTTCTATTCCCTGTGTAAAAGGAAAAAAGAAACTTAGACACTTCGGTTCTCAAGTAAAGTCAGAGCTACTAAGAAGATTAAGGACTAAGGAACCAAGTAGCTGTAACTCTGAGCCCCGGAAGAAGGTGACAAATGTCAGTTAATACTCACTGGCTGTGCACAGGGCACAGATGGTGCCGAGCAATCACATGTGATCTTATCCTACCCCTAGGAGAGTCTTAGATGACACTCATGTTACAACAGAGCAATTTCTGCTTAGAGAGGCTGAGATAGGAAAGCTGGCCAGACTGATCCCAAACCTGTGCTCTTGACAACTATGCATCAATGCCTTTTTAAAAAGGTGTTTAAATTTGGGCAGGACAGCACACATTTTTAATGCTAGTATATGAGAAATAGAGACTGGAAGATTAGGAGTTCATGGCCAGACTCCCCCACATAGCAAGCTTAAGATCAGCCTGGGATACATTAGGTTCTGATTTTTGTTTTGTTTTGTTGTTTTTATTTTTAAAGAAAATGTTCAGCCGGGTGGTGGTGGCACATGCCTTTAATCCCAGCACTCGGGAGGCAGAGGCAGGCAGATCTCTGTGAGTTCGAGGCCGGGCTGGACCGACAGCCTCCAAAACAATATAGAGAAACCCTGTCTCGTAAAAAACAAACAAACAAACAAAACAAAAAACAAAAAAAAAAGAAAAGAAAATGTTCAAGTTTTTTCTTGTAATTGATGGAGACTGGACATTCTAGAACTTTCTCAGGAATGCTAAAGTTAGAAAATTTGTTTGGGAATGGTTCAATTCCTTTTCTTACACGAACCATTCTTCCCTCATATTTCCTTCCTGTCCCCTCATACATTCCCCAAATACAGGGTGAATTGCCTGGACCCACACTCCCCTATGAACACCCCCTCTTAGAGTGCTGACCATGCTAGACCATGCCTGATTTTTCCACCTGGCTTGCTAAATTGTTTTGAGTCAGACCATGTCTTGTCTACAGCATATGGTTGTGTGTTTAGAACATGAAAGCACTCAGTATTTGGTCGTTGAATGAATGGATGGGCAGATGCATGAAAGAATGAATAAACTGATGATTTAATGACTAAATGCTCAATGAGCAAAAGGTTGAATCATTCTCCAATTCATTTAATCTCTCTCCATTAACCTTAAGTTACATACTGTTCTCTTCAATTTCAGCTCTGGACAATGTCTAAGACTTCATTGAATTAGGAATAACTGGTATTAGTGACTAACATATCTTTTTACTCAGCTCTTATGCTATATATTGTAGCATTTTCTGTCCCTGTTTCTAATATTGAGAGGAAGAAGGGCAGACCAGAGCTGCTGAGACTGCCAGACTGTCTGAGATCAAGCCTCATCCCCATAAATGTTTATCTATGGAAAGACCACTTAACCTCTCTGTCAGCTTTGCTATCTGTAGAGTGGATATAAATAATGGTACCACTTTTATAGGGTTAGAATGATGACTCTACCATTATCTATATAATACTTATTAAGGACCTAGCATTGAGTGAAATAAATAAATAAATAAATAATGCTGTTTTCAGACCATTTGGTTCTTCTTCTATTTAAAGACTACCCTGAATTTGCAGAGGCATGTAAAATCTCTTCCTAGTTGGCATCAGGAAAGCCCAACTCATAGTTTATACTTGAACAATGATGATGAGGTTCCAGAAACACTATGGGAGATGACAACTCATTGGCCATATTTAGATAAGGTAAATCCACCTTTCAAACTGATGAACTGACGTGTCAAAACTAAATGACCCCACAGCAGTAAGCTCTTCCCATGCCCCTCTCATTTGAGGCTGTACTTCTCTACTCTCTTTGAATTGCTCCAGTCATTGCACTCTTGGATTTCACTTCTGCACTTTTGTCATGACAATAACCTCACAGTGACTCTGTTAACACTCCTACACACACACACACACACACACACACACACACACACACACACACAAGACCTTGCTATCTTTCTTAAACTAAACTTCATTTACTTGGTTCATATGGTATTGCTGAATAATATTTTCTCATGGAAAGTGTGAAATTGTTACATAACTCTCCAAGGCACTTAATATAGATTTTTTAAACCAATTGTAGATAGTAAATAAAAAATAAATGATATTGTAAACAAAAAGGAGGACAACTAACAGGGAAATTATGAGGGAGAAAGATGTTAGATTCTATGTGTAGGTCCAAAACAACCACCAAAAAAAATGTAGAGAAAGGGAAAGCTAGCGTTTTATATGAGAAGCATGGTCAATATTTTAGTCAATAACCAAACTTATATAACTAACTCAACCATGTAATTTTTGTAAGCCCAAATTCTTTTTTAAACTTAGACTTTATTAACTGAACTACAGAGTGAAAAATCAGCAAGGGGCTAGTCTACCCTTCCAGCCTACTCCAGCTTGACCTCATCTTAACATAACTAGCCATATCTGTAATGGGTCACTTCCAAGTAGGGCCACATTTTGAGGTGCTGAGGGTTAGGGCTTCAACCTAGACACAATGAAAGGACAAGGCTCAACCTACAACAAATAACAACAGTGATTGGAACAAGGTATACATCTGCCTTGTGCTACTTTATTTTTGTAATAACACTTGTAAGCTAGAAAGGAGTGATCTTTTAGGATATTCAAGAAATTTACAGCATGAGTATGACTTGGGAAATAACCAGTCAGAATGGGGGATATCTACACATGAAAATGAGACATTAATCACTCTAGTTCATCATGGGCAGGTGAGCTCCTATGGTGATTTTCTATAATGGTAGGTTCTCTTTTCATTTCTATTTTTTAAGATGGAGAAAATGAGCATCAGAAAAGGCCAAGTAACTTGACCAAGACTGAATGGCTAATGAATAGAGGATCTGGTGCTGAACCCAGATCTTGTTGACCGGAGCCTGGGCCTTCACTGCTGTTCTGCAACCAGCTTAATTAGCAGCCACATACTGTTCTCGTGAAAAGAAAGACTAAGGGCTCTTATGTTATCAACATTCTCTTCTCCCTGGTTCAGATTTAGGGCTTCGTGACAGCTGTGACTTTTAGTTTAATGTTTTCTCCACAAATCCAGGCAGTTTCCCTAGAAATTGCTTCAGTCTCTCCTCCTTGGGGGAAAGCTTTTCTGTTGGCTTTTGATTTATAGGCACCCAGCCTCCACTTAGTCCCAAGCATCAGGGAAAATATCTCTACCAGTAAACTTTGCTACTAAAGGAAGGGTATACAGGGAGGCAGCTTTGAGACCTGCCCCTTCCCAGGAAAAACCTGGCTCAGACAGCCATTACAGAGAGCCAGACCCTGGGTGCTTGACTCCTTCTGGCTTCCTTCCTTATTCTGAGCTTCCTCTGAAGCTCACAAGTCACAAGCCACATGGACCAAACCCACTGGTGGGGGCTGCTTCCCTCTTAATCTGCTTTTCTGGAATAAGTCAGAAAGGGGGGTGGCGATAAAGGCTTCTAGGCAAAGTCTATAGCAGAAGAGGGCAGAAACTAAAGTGTCCGAAGGGCCTGCTCATCAAATATGCCCTTGGCTTTTGCCAAACTCATGTCAGTAATTATCTCAAAGTGGCTTTT